ACTCTCCAGTCCAGGCCTGGCTCAAGTGGAAGAGTGCCTGTCTTGCAAGCTTGAAGCCTGAGTTTAAGCCTAGTATTACCAGAAAAATCCAAGTTACAAACAAATGAGATATTACCATATACTTTTCAAAATGGCTAAAAGTAAAAAAACATCTAAAACTATCAAGGACCTGAGCTGGTCAATCAGATCACCTAGACAGAGGCCATTTATCAGGATACACAAAACTGTATTCAGCAAACGGTGTGTATAGGAATATTCATAGCATCTATATTGACAATATCCAAACCTGGATACTACCCAAATGACAATCAATAACAGAATGGGTCAATAAACTATAGAGTATTAATATAATGAATTATACAATGGTTAAAAATGAATATGATCACAATACATGTATTTATAATGATATCACAATCCTTTGTGCAATTAATATACACTAATAAAATTAAAAACAAAACTACTGAACATTCAAGATTAATGAATCTCACAGATACAATATTAAATTAGAGCCAATTAAAGTACACATGGTCTGAGTCTGGTTAAATAAAGTTAAATAACAAGAAAAACAGAAGACAGTCAAACAGTGATTTAGCCTGAGGAAGTACTACTGAAACCAGCTTGAAGAAGATCTGAGGTGTGAGCGCTATTTATATCTTGGTAGGGGTGATAGTTAATGAGCATATTCCAACATAAAATATTCAGTGAGCCGTGTACTTAAGGATTGTATGCTTTAAGATCTATCTTCATTCGGTACCCAAAATTAATAAATAAAGCAACCACTAATAATTCTTAATGCTTAAGAGTTTAATGAAAGTCATATGATTCTATGTATAATTCCCAAATGACAAAGTTCAGATAGGAAGAAAAAATTCACATTTGAAAACATGTGGTCCAGTGAAGACATCATCCTCTACACAAGACTCTCTCTTGTAAGTAGGCAGAGATGACCATGGAGAATCCTAGGTACTTTGTACTCCTATTGGAGTATGGGTACTCTAAGTTTACCACAAGAAAATGATAAAAAGATCACCATAAAAAAACTGCAAAAGGTATACAAGGTATTCAAATTTTCTGTTCCACAGAGTCTGAGAAGACCTCTTTCCCTCTGAATCAAAAACTAAAAACAAACGCAAAGCAACCAAGAAAACTTTCCTGTTTTTAAGTTTCCTAGTTCTGTGCTTAGATTGCTTTTGTTCTATGTTCTAGTAATAACTAATAGGTGAAAATGAAACTTTTAAGTCAGCAACACTGGCCGAGATAAATTTAAGAGTCCAAACTAATGTTTATCTGAAATAATGTTAACAGAATTCTCACTGCAAAATATTTGCTTTGTTTTTTTTTCCCCTCCAGGCAGAACAGTCCACTAGGAATAATGTAAAACTCAGAACTGTTCAATTAGAACAGTACTGCTCACATTTGAATGAGCACAGTTAAAATGCAGATTCTGACTCAGCAGGGTTGGACATATGCATGTCTAACAACTTCCTAGGTTATGCCCATGCTGTTCTTCCAAATACACACTTGGAGTGGTAAAAAGAGGTTACACAGTAACATTTCTAGAATTTAAATTGCAATTTCTTAAAAGATCACTTAGGGTTTTTGTCAGCAGACTGCGCAGATGGATTATGTTGTTAATTTGACATGATCCTTGAACTTCATTTTTTCATTTTTAATGATTCTGTCTTCTTTACATTAACTATGGTATATTCAAGTGTACACCTTCAGAAAGGGAGGGTACAGAACTCAAAGGAAAAGGGTGGAAAAGGGCAGCAGTGGAGCTCACTAGACACGGATGAAAGTGAACTATAAAACTCGTAGGTGGAGACAGGAGGGAGGGACTGAGAGTAAAGGAACAGAAGACACTGTATACAAAGAAATGTGCTCATTATCTGACTCATGTAATTGTAATCCCTCTGTATATTACCTCTATAGTAACAGTAAAGTAAATTAATAATAATAAAAAACTATATCAACAAAAGCTGCTTTGGGTGTTTGGTAAGGAAGAACATTCCACAATACCTGTTGTTTTCTTAAGGTCAAAATCATGTTAAAGAAAGGAAAGTAGTTTATAAGCAGTGAAATAAGGCAATTATATAGTTCTTATTAAAAATTGTGTCATTAAAATTAGAGAAAGGAAAATATTTTTGAAGGAATCTGAAATGCAACATCTAAGTTACAAAACAAATCATAATCCAACTTCAATTTAATGTTAAAATATATCTAAATACATAAGTATGATTTTAGTTTCTTCTTTTTCCTCTTTTTTGTGGTGCTGGGGTATATGGGCCTACCACTTGAGATGCATCCCCAGCCCTCTTCTCCTCTGATATTTCCTCTAGTTATGTCTCATTTTTGCCCTGTGGCTGGACTTAGACCATGATGCTCCAACCTCTGACATGAAGGGATGACAGGTATTGGCTACCCATGCCCAGCTAGATGAGGTTTTGCTAACTTTTTTCCAGGCTGGCCTCCAACTGTGATCTTCCCTATTTCTGCTTCCCATGTTGCTGGGATTACGGGCTGAAAAAGCATTCATGGTGATATTATGCAATTTCTGAGAAAAACATTTTCCAGGTTCAAATTCTACAGCAATGAGAATCAAAACAATAATGATCATAGCTATAAATTCACATGAGCTTCAGTATTAGTGTTTAATTTAGTATTAAATAGATGGAAAATAAAATAACATAAAGGGAAAAATGAAATAAATGGATAAATATTCCTGAAATATGACTAACATCCTGACCTCTCAGAATGGACAAAAATAAACTTCAAGTAGATTAAAAAATTTGATATAAAAGAAAAACCACACAAATATTTAAGAACATTTAACTTACTACATTTGCTGAATAACTCATAATCCACCCTAACTCTATTATCAAGTTACATCCTAAATGTATTCTCTTATGAGGAAGTTTTCAAAGTTGGCATATTTTCAAGGGAGAAACAAAGGGTTAAAACTTTGGATTTTATTATAAAAATATTAAAAGTTGATGTGCCATAAAAGACTATAGGCAAATTTAAGAAGCAAAGGGTAATATGGAAGAAATACATACATACAAATATACATATGCTTTACAGAACTAATATTCTGACTGTGTAAATACCAGAAATCAAAATTTTTGAGCACTGCTAAGAAATGTATATTCTCAGTTCCAGAAGAATGAAAAATCTGCTTATGGGTGAAGTACAGTTTCCGTTCTGACACATTCTATTTGTTTCTTGTACTGAGAATGCCACCTGTTTTATCTCCTTCAACTTTCAAAATCCTACATGAAGTTTTCTCTGGAGAGCTTCCTCTCTGTTAAAGGTAGAACACTGTACATGTATGTCTCCTCTTGTACTAATAACGTTCCCTAGGCATAGCAATCATTTATTTGATCATTTTCCACTAAAGAAGTAGCAACTTCAGGTCAACAGACCTTGAGCCTTTATATTCTCATCACATTAGGGAGTCAGGAAGTAGATTCTATTAAGGTTTCTCCAAGCTTCGGAAAGTTAGGATTGTCCAGGTACACTGAATTAGATTGTTACTCTTCTCTTCTACACTATTCTAAATTACAAAATATGAATAGACTACTACAATTTTAAAAAAAAGAAAGGAAAAAAAAGAAAAATAACCAGGTGCTGCATGGCTCACTCATGTAATAGTAGCTAATCCAGAGGGCTGAGATCTGGGGATCAAAGTTCAAAGCCAGCCCCAACAGTAAGATCCATAAGATTCTTATCTCCAATTTCCCACTAAAAAGAGCTGGAAGAGAAGCTGTGGCTCAAGTGGTAGTTTACTAGACTTGAGCAAAAAAGCTCAGCAGCAGCGCCCAGGCCCTAAGTTTGGGCTCCAAGACTGTCATAAAAAGAAAAGAAAAGTAATGAAAAGAGAAGGAAAGAGAAGAAAAGAGAAGAGGGAAAGAAGAGGACGAGACAAGGAAGAGAAGAAAACCACAACAAAGTAACCATGATGTATTATTGAAAACTTTGAGTCCTTAGATCTGAACAAAAATGAAGAAGAATCTGATCATTATAGAGACTGATTCCTCAGGTCCTGTCATAGTACTTTACTCACCTTAGAATATTACATTTTTAATGATTGTGTTTGTGTTTAGTTTTTGTTTTTGTTTAGTCAGTCATGGGGCTTAAACTCTGGGCCTGGGTGCTGTCCCTCAGCTCTTCAGCTCGAGTTTAGTGCTCTACCACTTGAGCCACAGTGCCACTTTTGGTTTTTCTGGTGGTTAAGTGGAGTCTCACAGACTTTCCTGCTGGGCTGACTCTGAACTGCTATCCTCAGCTCTCAGGCTCCTGAGTAGCTAGGATTACAGGCATGAGCCACCAGTGGCCGGCATGTGTTATTTTTTATGGGGTATTTTTCCTTGTTTCCATCCATTATTATAATATATAATGCAGAGGAGCATACATTTCTGACAGTTTTTTCTGGAAATATAGGTGTGACTAAAGTGGCAGAGTGCCATCCTTGAGGAGAAAAAGCCAAACGAGAGCATGAGGCCCTGAGTTCAAGTGCCAATACTGGCACACCAAAAAATGAGGAAGGAAGGAAGGAAGGAAGGAAAGAAGGAAGGAGGGAGGGAGGGGAGGAAGGGAGGGAAGCAGGGAGAGAGGAAAGGAAGGAGGGAGAAAAGGAAAAGAAAAAAAAGAAAAAAATCTTTTCCCACGGTTTTCAAGTTTTCAAGCCATGTTGGAACCTTATTGGTCATCCAAACACTGTTTGGTTTAGTTCAACATTTTTTGTTACAAATAGTGAAACTAGGGCTTAAGATTCTTTCTCCAGTTAGGACTCAGTTACATAATTCCAGGAAGACAGACTATAAGTTTACATCCAGTAAGTTGCTGCAATAAGAAATTTGTTGGTTTTAAGAATTAAAAAAAAAAAACACTGTACAGAATGAGAAAAAAATCATCAACCAACGTAAACACATTGAAGCAACATCTTCAAATGTGAAAGATTTATAATCACATAGGTTAAGAGATGCATTTTGCAAACATACCTTATCCATCAGTTTACTTGCATGAAGACTCAAGCTATTGAAGAATATTTTTTTGCTTAGCAAATGCATTTCTTCAATAGTAGTCAATAAAGTAGTTGCACTATTTCCAACAATGCCACTAAGAGCAAAGAACATTTTAGGTTACAAAATGGAGACTAAAACAATTCCAATTCTTTGACTACAAAGCTTTAAGAACATGTAGATTTAAATAAAAGAATTTATGTAGAATACAATGTATAAATTAAAAACAAAAGTCAGAAGGTTTTATTGTTGTTGTTTGGTTAAGTAATCAAAACAAGAAAAGAAAAAGAAAACTCAATAGGTTGAACATTCTTATTTTAAGAATCCAAAATGTGAAAAAAAAGAAATGTACTCATTATCTTGCACATATAATTGTAACCCCTCTGTACAGTATTTTCACAATAAAATATATATATATATAATGTGAAAAAGTTACAATATCTGAAACTTTTTGAGCATTGCAATATCTGTTAAAAATGTTTCATTGGAATGAATCAAGAAAATTTTATATATATATACATATGGGAATTCTATGCCTCCATCAGAAAGAATGACATCGCCCCATGTTAGGAAATGGAAAGACTTGGAAAAAATTGTACTAAGTGAAGTAAGCCAGGCCCAAAGAAACATAAGTCTCATGGCTTCCCTTATTTGCAATAACTAGTATATGTCTGGGACAAACAGAAAAGGTCAAAAGCTATGTACATATGACCAGATAAGATGATGTTAAGTGAAATGAACCCCAAGATAGGGACTCAAGTGTTTTTTTTCTTTCTTGCTATTGTTTCTAACGTATTTATAATATACCATGTGACTTTTTTTTGTTTCTTTGTATGTTCCTCCCTGTTTTCATTGTATTTGATTTCGGTGCCCTGCATCTTGTATATATATATATATATATATATACTTCTCTAATTTGGGGAGGGGAAGGGAAAAAACAAAATGCTTAAATAGAGATACAGGTTGACCCATTGAACAATGAGATGTACAAGACAGTCTGTTGAAAACACACTTTATAATTTAGACGGGGTGGGGGGTGTGTGGGGTGGGGGGTGGGAGGAGTATAGTTGTGGAGGTGGGAGGGAAGGGATGGTAGGGGAAAAACAAAGGAGGAGGCAACAATTTTTGGTAGGAAATGTACTCATTACCTTGCTTATGTAACTGTAACCCCTTTGTCCAGTATTTTCACAATAAAAATGTATTAAAATTTTAAAAATGTTTCACTGTTAAAAATGTTTCAGATTTCACAGTGGACTGGCAGAGATTAGGAGATGCTTGAGTGGAAAAGCCTATGCACATGTTCTAAAATCAAAAACAAAACCCCCAAACCCACATCTGCAACACTTCCGGTCCCAATTTTGATGAGGGACACTTGATTTGTCCTATGTGTCCAGTATTTCCCAGTCTATTAGCTAAACTATGTTAGTACCACCACATGTGGTATGGAAGCCCTTTTGCCATTCTTTCTCTAATACAGTACTCTGATTATCCAAGAAGGCATAACTCTAAGGAAGTCATTCTAATAGCTCTACTGTATTAATTAAACAAATTGTATCACACTGAATTATTCTTTTAATTAAAACTGGTACAGCCTATAATAACATACCTATACATTATGAAATATCTCCATTTTTATACAACTGCTGAAATAATGGTATATTTGGACTAATTATGAAGATTCTGGTAGCAATTTAAAATAATTAATTATATTAGTACATTCTGCAATAGTTAATTTTGTATTAGAAGGATGTTTTGTAGACACAGACAAAGGGGTTTTCTCAATTTTGCCAAGATCTAGGACAGATATATACATAACAAACATCTCAATTTTGTCTTTGTTCTTCTAATAAAAATAATGATTTCAATTTTTTTTGTGGGGGAAGTTTGTTAAAATTCTGTAGAAAATCATAATTTCCAAAGGTATAAAAAAATTACACCATACATAAAATCATTTAGGTTGCTAAAGATGATATGATGACATCATTAAGTATGGGTAAAATGTATACTAAAATAACAGCAAGTTTACTAAAAAGTTTATGTGTACTTCATGTACATACTTACACTGTAAACATCAATATACTTTGAAACTAAAATGACTTGGTTAAAGTTTTATATAGTTTGTGTAAACAGTATTTATATACTATCAAGCTGCATTTGGTACTCAAGGTTAGCTTTTACTGGTTTTCCCTGAGTACATTACTAGAAACCTGTGACTGGTCCAGTTACTTTTAGAGGTTCTTTCTTATACTTTACTCTATAGTTCCACTATGCTTATTGTTTTCCATTCTTAGAAGTCCCTGGTATAGACAACGAGCATTAAACTCCCCAACACAGTTTTTCTCTACCACTCCACCCAAACTTCACATTCCCCAGGCTTCCTAATACATTTAGAATTGTAGTATTCCAATAAATACATATTTAATGTTTATATTATTACTTAGCATGTAAATATCATTCAAAGCTGACCAAGGAAGCAAGACATACAACACAAGGGATTGAGCAAATGGTTGGAAAGACAAGCCCTAGTGTGCAGTCCCAGAGTGGGTCTGGATGTCTGGAGATCAACCCATCTAGCCTGGAGAAGGGGTTTCAAGAGGGGTGAAGGAAGGGTGGGGTAGGACTACTTGATACGTTTACTATGTCCCTAGAAAAGGTCAAGTTCACCTAGCACTTTGGATCTGAACAGTGATAAGGACATTGGAAAATAAGCAAGCACAAAAACAAAGCAATTATAAACTGCAAGGCAAGTTTTACAGGAAGGACAAACAATATTATGCTAGACTCCTTATTTCCCACATCTTCCTTGTTAGGGGTTTTCCTCACATTTTTCCCATTTTCCCTCCACTTCACTGTCTATCCCTTACCTGTTTTCTTTGTGAGTTTTTCCTCTTCTTGGACCACTGAGTATTGAAGTGCCTAGGAATCAGACTGAGGTCCTGCTATATACCTCTACTCACTCCTTCCCTTCTTACATGATCTTTCCTAGGTTTTGAAGAGCACCTATATTCTGAATATTGCCAAATGTAGTGTCAGCCCTGATTTCTCTGTGGCATTCTTACTCATCATGTGGCTTTGTTTTATTGAAACTATACCAGTAGGATGTAAACAAAGCCCATTTGGTATACTGACATTTTAGTTAGCTACTTTCAGCTGTTAGGAGGCTGGTGCCATCATCACAGTAATCTTCTGGGATTTAGTGACTGCTGAACCTCTCCTCTCCTGGACACTAACTTTGGGTTTTCACATTGATCTTTTGTTCTTAATTCTGGTATAATGGAAAACAAATGACTTTTAAGTGTAGACAACTAATAGATACATCAAAGAGACAGTGAATGCAAATCTTGGCATCAAAGACCACATCTTAAATAAGACAAATACTTTGTAATCAGGTAACATGGCTTTTGTTTAGGGAGACAAAACTATAGTTCTATTTTTATATTGTTACTTATGACAGACAAATATTCAAAATAGCTGAAGTTATTTACACCCAGAATAGGACATTTAGTTCATTATGCTCTGTTCAAAGTATAACTTGTAGCTGCTTTAGTTGTCATAAATTTTATTTACTAATGAAAGAAGACTCAATCTATACTTTATAGATTCCATTGACATAATATATATATATATATATATGTAGTGTGTGTGTGTGTGTGCTCGCGTGCGTGAATGTAGTTATGCTTTGAGAAAAAAGAGAAAAGGAAAGGACAGAACTCAAGGTACAGCAGGAGTAACATGCACAGTGCAGAGGTCTACTGGTCATGCTTAGTTGGGTGTGCAATGAAAACAATAGGCATTGAATTCATATGCCTTGAAATGTGAAGCGATATCTCTTATAATTTCCATAAAACCTCACTGAGGTTTAGTAAGCCCTTTGTTACTCCACTTACCTGATTGTATGGTGGTAAAATTTGAGGAGATTAGAAATTTTATACAGTAAAACTGCCCCGGGTTCGGCAAGTATTACTTGTTCAATTCGAACCTATTAAAGCATGTGAGAAAAGAATTAAACATTCCTTATATGCACACCTTTCTTCATTAATGACACAGTATTAACAGAGCAAAAAAAAATCACCAGTACAAATTTCATTACTGTAGCAATCATAAAATACCTTTCAAAGATTTCAGTATGTTAAGTCATCGTTGAACAACCTTTTAACTATAAAACTTGGTTCAAGGCAGGCCTTGATCGATCATTTTGAGGTACCGTCAGTACAGAAATTAAATTAGCTTAATATTAAATCACAAAAGCTACTTTCCTTACAGCAGATTCTCAGTGGATATATACTGCTCAGTCACCAAAAAAGTGGAAGAATTTTTGTTTTTAAACTATAATACCATGTTTGTTACCATTAACCACAGAATAAACAGGAAAGCAGAAGATCATAATTAGCACCAACCCAACTATAAGACTATTCAGGTAAAAAAACAAAAACTAAACAAAACACCAGATCTGGGTTAGGATGAAGTTGTTCTGCCTCAAGTTCAATCATGAGGAATCTTTTCTAATTAAATTTCATTCCTCCCTGATCTTTCCATTGCTTTGAATTTCCTCATTAACAAATACCATGGAAATAACCCTGATCCATGCCTACTTGCATGCTGTACTGGAACTGTCCTTAAGTGACTATTCACTTTCATCCCTTTCCAACTAGTTTCTAAATGCCAGTAGATAAGGGGCTGTCTGCTGCCTTACACCTCTGCAGCATCTGCTAAAACACTACATACACAGCAGATGTTTTGCAAGATGAAGGTTTCTCTGTACATGGACTTCCCACATGTCGTAATACCGACAGATATAATGTGAAAAAAATAAGATTTTTTTAATAAATGCATCCATAATGGCACACAAAATCACTTGAGTTTTTGAAATAAATTTGTCTTTACATCAATATGTTTATGAAACTGATTCATCTCTCAGCTTCAGGCAGTAGACTAGATAACGAACCTCATTTCAATTTCTTTTTAGGCCAAGACACAGTAATTTACATTATACGTTCTATCTGTAAAAGTGATGTTTTCTGAATTTTAATATAATTATTAGAGAAAAATAGAAAGGATGCTAATTATAGACAAGACAGTTTTCCCAAACATTTATAACATAATCTCAGCTACCTGGCAACTCATCTTCTAGACTTAAGACATCAAGAAACTAGTCCTCATTTTAAGAAAGGCGAGAAAGGTATATAGAGAGAACCAAGAAGTAAAAAGAAAGGAGGGGAAGAGGGGAGGAAGGGAGGAAGGGAGGAGAGAGAGAGAGAAACCATGCCACCCCTTGTTACACGGTAGGAATCCTGGGGAAAGAGGCCACTGCAGGCTACCTAGAGATCACTCAAAGGAAGGCTGAAAGTCAGACTGAATAGGACACACCAGTCTGGCATATTTGCCACACAAATACATCCTCTCTTAACACAGGTACCTTGTAACATATATAAAAACAAAATATTCTACCTTTAGAGGTCTGCAGACACCTTCAGTGATATGCCCAACAACTTCCTGAATACTTTCTTCAACACCTAAAGTGAATTACTATACATAAGTTTTGTTACATTATAAATTCATATAAACTCATATAAATAAATATGCTTCATATAAATTCAGAAAGCAAACAAAAATGTCTATAATTAATGACATTAATAATATTCAAAATAAGCATAGGTTATTTTTGAGAACATTACATGTTATGTTAGTAACACATTACTAATTGTGTTAATATGACTAAGGTGTATCTAGAAGGCTTTGATTCATTTGACTGTTAAGTTAATAAAATGAACGTTTTTGTTTAAAATAGTATCTGAGATGGGGCTGAGGAGGGAGGACTATGAAGAAAACAATGTCAAGATGATTAGAATTTGTTCGGCAAACACCTTATTCAAGGCTTGCAGCAGTGTGCACTGGCTGAGGGCAGAAAGATGAAGACAGAGTATGCAACGTAACACAGGACTGATGATCAATCAAGCACTGTCCTGGGTACTCAACATTTGCTACTCATAACCACTTTCACTTTTACAGCTAAAGAAACTGAGGTTGTGAAGATTTAAGTCATTGCTGTGGAATTTCATTAACTGTGATCTATTTCCCAATTTCAACAATGCCCCTCATACAAGCTTTTCTAAAACATTTCTGAAGTAATGCACTCTTTTAAACTAGATAATTAGGATAACAACAGGGAAAAATGTTTAGAAATACATTTGTGACTCAGATCTAAACTGAGTCTAATCTCAGTACGGAAGAGATGATGTTTATGAGGGTATTACACCAATTTACACATGGACTCTCCTGTGGTCATGAGCTAAACAAAACAGTCATGTGAAACCATGTATAATATTCCTCTTGACTTCCTATCAAAAACAGAACATTCTTTAATTACATGCTAGTCCATCAAACTCTAAAACAGGCCTCTTAAGCTAGTCTCAATTCAGATGACTTGAAATTCTATAGACAAGATATTGGCAACTCTCAAATGTAATCACTGTTCACTGTTCTCCCTTGAAACCAAGACAAACATTTTAAGTACATATGGTAATTACTTAAAAAAAGATAATAACATAAAAAAACCTTTAGCATGGTCTCATGAGAATAAAAATACGAGGATGGATAGTAGAAATAAAAGAATTAACAGCTTAATAACAGTAAGCAAACCACTCAGCCTGCTCACTCATAAAGATAGATAATCCCTGAAATGTCATACTGAAGTTCTGAGATAATGTATGAGACACTCCAGAAGTGTCTATGAGTGAAGCATGGGAGTGTAGGCTTCATATACACAGTTAAAGAGCCCACTGTAAAACCGAACATTTAAGAGATAGGACACCAGTATGGAAAAGAAGCCTAAAGCAGAACCAGAGAGAATAAGGTGAATTAGGACACTCACTCATTGCACTATGTAGAAGTCAATGTTTATCTCCAGGAAAAAGAGAAAGGAAACAGAAGCTTATATTCTTTCTCTGTTTGGCTATCAGATTACTATCAGTGCACTCACCTTGGGCAGTCACAAGCTTTAAGAGGGCCTCCAGGTGTTCCTTTTCAGAGGCCGTAGCTTGGTGGAGCCATGCCAACATATCTCCCACATACCTAACAAAAACTACATGTTAGTAAAGATGTCCTTGGAAAAGATCTCAAAGCTTATACTTTGTGTCTGATTACTGTACCTCAAAGGGTCATGGGAGTGCATTTCAATGGGTCGAGGTGTACCTCCTGGGCCACCTCTTGTAAGAGCATCAATAAATCCACGGACAACTGTACTTCGTCTGGCTGTCCCAAATTCATCTAAGGTATATCTAGAAGAAACACATTGTATAAGAAACATGCTTTTTTTTTCCCTGATGGGTTATATCAAATTACACATGCAAGACATTTAAATCCTTTTTAGGTATTCTCTCAAGCAATATTGCTTAATTTTTTAAAAAAGACAATTCTGAGATAAGTTTAGCATTCTGAAAGTTCAACTGATCCCACCATTCAGGAAGAATAGGTGAGAAGATCATGAGTTCAAGGCCACCTGTTTCCAAAGACTCGAAAAATAATTCAGTGTGGAAAATAACTAACAATTTTTGCTCCTCCTAACTAAGAATGTCTGAGACTAAAACTTAGCAGCAGGGAAGAACAACAGATTTATTTAGTAAGGCTAGCAGACCCATGTGGGAATCCTGAACTCTCTAGGCTTCAATACTTTTCAGGCCAAAACAAAGCTGGTTGTGACTCTAAGCCTTCCTTCTACATTAAAATTTTTTTCCTTATGATTACTTTTACAACTTACCACCAAATTGGGGCCCTAAAACTGCTAGCTTTTTTTTTTTTTGGTCAGTCATGGGGCTTTTTTGTCAGAACTCTGGGCCTGAGTGCTGTCCCTCAGCTCTCTTTAGCTCAAGGCTAGCACTCTACCACTTGAGCCAAAGTGTCATTTCTGGTTTTCTGGTGGTTTATTGGAGATAAAGAGTTCCATGGACTTTCCTGCCCAGGCTGGTTTTGAACCAAGATCCTCAGATCTCAGCCTCCTGAGTAGCTAGGATAATAGGCATGAGCCATCGGCGCCCAGCTTAAATGTTTACTTTGACTCACAATTTTATAGCTTTCAATCTATGGTGGTCTAGCTCCATTGCGTTGGGCCTGTGGCAAAGAGAACATCTTACTGGGGAAGGTGTGGTAGATGAAACCCATTCACCTCATAAAGCTGGGTCAAGAGAGAGGGAGAGAAGGACAAGGAAAGGATGGGCTGGGATCTCAGTATCCTTATTTCTCAATGACCTTGCTTCCTTTCACTAAGCCCCAACCCTTCCTTCAAATAATACAGTCTGGTGACCAACCTTTAATACATAAGCCTTTTATTTTTCAAGTATACAGGAAACAAAACCAAAAATTCAGCAGTCTATAGTTAGCAGAATCTATACTTACCCATTGTAAAATCCCTATCAAACTAAATATTCAGATTTCACTAGCCAATATATAAACAAAACCACTAATATTTCCAGAAGTCATTTTTTATATTCTATTGCTTTCTCTAAAATGCTGCCAATTTAATGAAAAGTACACATTTTTTTTAAAATACAAGAAAGCTGAGTTTTACTTCCTCTTAAAGGGGAAGAGTGGGTGGCAATCTTTGTGAATCAGAACCTTTTCAGAGGACCCCTCACTCTTAACTTTGGTTCTTTGTGGGTGTGTCCATTTTCAGTTGAGAGGAACTAGTTTTGAAACTCTCTGCAGACATGACTGTACAGGAACAAAAAAGTAGGGAAACCAAGCCAAGCTTTGCTGAACTACATAACTGCCCTGCAATTAGTTCTATTTTTTTAAGCAAACTAGATCCAAAATGTTCACATCCTTCCCTTTTCTTCTTGCTCTTCAATTATACAGATGACTGATGTGAACAATGCCTTCTTTTAAATGATCATCTCATTCTATGAAATAATGAACTTATCATTGGATGACTATCAGAGTAAAGAATGCATAGCTATAACTCCTTAAGAATATATCAAACTAATATTTCCCAAGATCCTAGTGACTACAGGAAATAGACACAACATAATTTTGATGCCAAGGATCTTTCATTGTGGCCACAGTTTAATCAGAAATGTTATTGCAATAGCATTTTAGAGCCGCAACTATCGAGCCAGGTAAACATGAGGACTTAATGTGTACAATAATAGAAAAATATTAATAAGCATGAACATTAATGTTGATCCTTCAAGAACAAATGTAATTTAAGCAAAAACAGCATGAACCAATGAAAAACCTTCCATTGTATCGTCAATGAAACAACTCTGTCAGAGACAGAGAAAAGGGTTTTCACTAAAATCACTCTTCCAACTAAAAATTTCAAAATGTAGCTGTGTAAAGAGCAGCTTTATATAAACTGCATACACACTCTTAAATGCTTCCAGTTGAAAATAACAGTCTCATCTTTATTATGTCTATCTGTATGAATAGAAAAAATTCTAGTCAAAAGCAAATGAAAACAAAAATGTACTCAAAAAGTAAATTAAAAAAAACAAAAGATTAAAGGAGGAGGCTGCAATGCTTGATAAGAAATGTACGCATTATCCTGCCCATGTAATTGTAACCCCTCTGTACAGTATGTTCACAAATAAAAAATAAATAAATAAATAAAAACAAAAGATTAATGTAGAATTTCCTCTTTAGAATGCAATGGAAAGACATAAAGAATGAACAAAAATCAGCATTGTACAAATTACTACATTTTCAAATAACATCTGTTTACCAAAAGAGGAAATCTTCATGTTTTTCATTTCCATTTAGAACAAATGCAGAAAAAAAGTTTTGTCTTGGTTTATTAAAATAACACATTGCACTATGTAAGAACAATGAGTTAGGCCACTCTCCCCAAGAATTTTAATAATTTGCATTTTATTTTCTGTTATTTTCAACTTTCACATAAAGACAATCAAGAATGATGTACTCGCTATCTTGCCCATGTAATTGTAACCCCTCTGTACGGTATTTTCACAATAAAAAAAGAAAAAGAAAAAGAAACCTTCACTGTAAAAATTAAATGAAGTTCACATACTGCCATCTAGTGGGTACCATGAAATAGTGGGTTTTCCCCCTAAATTTAGAAACTTGGAAGGCAATTTTTGTTTTTTAGCATTCACTATATCATAATCAACTGGATCTAAAAACCCCTTTTCCCTCAGCTCCCAAATGTCCCTTAAGACCTTTCAAATTGCCATTACTGCCCTGTGAACTGGCAACAAGCCTTTCAGAGATAAATCTTTGCTTTTCCATAAGCCTCTCTATTCTATCTTTCAGGTTTTTCCTGTTTTCAAAGAAGCCTTAAACTGAGACCTTAGAATCATATTTTACAATGAGACTCCATCTCATTGCAGTTGGAATGGCTACTAAAAAACAGATAAATGCTGGTGAGGATGTGGAGAAAATGAACTCTCATATGCTGGTAGTGGGAATGCAAATTAGTGCAGCTACTGTGAACTATGGTATGGAGGTTCTTGGAAAATTAAAAATGTAACTACCTTACGAGTACCACTTCTGTGTATATAACCAAAGGATACGAAGTCAGCATGTGAAAGATAGACCTGTATGTCCATGTTTATTGTGGCATTGCTCATTATAACTAAGATATATGAACAATGGAAATGGATAAAGAAAATGTAGACACACACACACACACACACACATACATACACACACACACACACACACACAGGATACTATTTAGCCATGAAGAAAAATGTCATGTGTAGCAAAACAGATGAACTTGGATAAGATAATTTTAAGCAAAATAAGGCAGACTCAGGGAGACAAATATTGCATATTCTCTCTTCTATCTGAAAACCTCAAAAAAAATTGACCTGTACTCATTATCTTGCCCATATAATTGTAATCCCTCTGTACAGTATTTTCACAATAAAAAAAAAGATTTAAAAAATTGACCTGAAGCCAAATATGATTATCAGGAACTGTGAACGAGGTTAGAGGAGTAGAGGGTGAATGGAGGGAGAATGAATATGTACACTGTGTGCATGTATAGAAATATCACAATGAATTTCACTAAGATGCATAATAAATACATGTCAGAAAAAATAGATATAAAAATAATAATTTAGTAAAAACTTATTTGTATGGCAGAAGTTAGCTGTCCTATTTAGGAACTCAAAACACAAGAGATCATATAAAAGATTAATCTTGTGAATAAATATCTGTAGACAATATAATACTTGATTAAAGTCACACACCAAATGCCTTAAGTAGTAAAATAATATCCTAATTATTTAAAATGTCAAAATAAAAACATTGGCAAAGAAATTGTGAAGCAGACATCAAATGCTAAGCAGTGGATCAATGGTAACTGAGAGCTGATATGTACATGTACAACACTCAAGGCCATTACGATCTGGCCTGCCTACTAACTCAACATCCAGTTCAGCCTTTTCAAATGGATTCATCACTGCTGGATCTTTTTCACTTCACGTCTTGACATTTGCCATTGGAATGTTCTGTCATACTTCTTATTGGGGAGAAAGCCTACTCAACTTCAGAATTCACTGTTTGCCTACTCCCTTTAGGAAATGTTCCTCAGGGTTCTCCTGCCTCTAATTCAGAGTTCTTGAGCCACACTGCACCTAGGAAAAGCCCTGAGACTAGCAATATAATAGTTTATTACAATATACTTGCTTATGCCTGGCTTTATAAAATAGAGCAGTTTGGAAGGCAGTGTTATACCCATGCTCTATCTCTGCACATAAAACAGCATGTAACATGTAGTAAGTACTAAGTAAGCAGCACAAAGTGCTGTCATTTTATATAGTAAAGAGACACTTGTGTTCTGTAATCTTATTATAGGATAAGCAATAGTCCAGTCCTTATGTAAAGGAGGAATCTTTAAAAATCATTCAAGATCCTCTGCAAGAGATGATTTAGGGCCTCTGTAAGAGTCCCCTAGCTGTCTTCTGAATAAGTGCTACCCTCTTGGACTCTTAAAGCTTGTCCTCAAATCACGCAAGACATTTAAGAAAAGTAGTTTTTGGTTGTTTTGTGAGAACTAAGATGAAATAATTAAAATCAGGAATAATTTTTTGTAAACAAACTAAGCCACAGGATTCTCAGGCAAAGAAATCTTTTGGTTGGCATAACTTACAAGATCAAAGACCAGTCCTATTGATGGAACCCTGATTTTAAATGACTGTTTTCATCTCTGGGTAATAATATTTCACAGTCTCTATATGCCTGCCTTTTCTCTAGGGCAGGTTGATACAGGAGTTTAGTGAATAAATGAGATGACAAAGTAGTCAAGTCACTTGGCCTCCACATGAGTGGGAAGCAGTCTGATACAAAGACCTCAGTCTTCCCTTTCAGACTGTGCTCTACGACAAGAAATGTTCAAGTAAGCTGCAAAGATACACAGGTGCAAAGAGATGGCATAACTTACAATTACTCAAACTACTGTGTAAGGATTTGAAAACATTTTCAAGATTCCAACAAATCAGCAAAGAAAAAGTAGGATTTCCTACTTACTTATATAAGACTGGTCTATCCTGTAGGGCTTCCATGGCTTGTGTTAGTACTGGAGATATATCACAGGATTCTTGTGTCAATGTTCTGCATTCATCTGGAAAATTTGTAACATTGTAACTTTTATTCAATTAAAATTACTTCTCTAGTATGTCCAGTACATCCCAATTGTCTAATTTCTTTTTTTTCCCGGTAGTGGGGCATGAACTCTGGGCCTGAGCACTGTTCCTCAGCTCTTCAGCTCAAGGCAAGCGCTCTACTGCTTGAGCCACAAAACCACTTCCAGTTTTCTAGTGGTTTATTGGAGATTAGAGTCTCACAGACTTTCCGGCCTGGGCTGGCTTTGAACTGTAATCCTCAGATCTCAACCTCCTGAGCTGGGATTACAGGCGTGAGCCACTGGCGCCCGGCTTAATAGTCTAAATTCTATAGTAGATGATCCCATGCTTAGAAAAACAGAAAGAATATACCAACCAAAGCCTAATTTATACCTAGGCACCCCAGTGGCTCATATCTTTAATCCTAGCTGAGAACTGGAAGATAAAGTTTCAAAGCCAATCCAGGCAGAAAAGCCTGAGAGACCCCCATCTCCAATTAACTGGCAAAAGTCAGGCTACAGGTATGGCTGAAGTGGTAGAAAATCAGCTATGAACAACAAAGCCAAGAAAGAGCAAGCTGAGTTCAAGCTGTGGTGGGGAGGAGGGGAGGGGAGTAAAGAGGAGAGAAAACCTCAAAAAACAAAAAACAAACAACAATACACAAAATCCCACCTAATTTATGTTACCAAACAAACTGAAAAAAAAATCAAGCTTGTGTAGCACATATGCTATCAGGTATACTTCAAAGCTATGTTCTTAATAATAAATATGTATATATGAATTAGTGCCTTAACCATGGCAATATAAATTATTTATACTAAAAGTATATTCCAAGTTTCTTTCCTCAGAATCAATCTTTAAGAAGTTTGTTCATACAGATAATAAAATTCTAACAGTCTGAGTTTTAGGAAACTTTTCTTCCAGGGTCTTATGCTCTTTAGGCAAGTACTTCACTACTGAGCTACATACCAGTCCCAATGTTTTTGTTTTTCATTTTACAATCCAGTTTATTCCCAAAATGCTTACAAGTACCTACTATCCTCACAGAACTTAGTTTTTATTCAGAAATCCAACCTGTTGTGGTATGAGGACTCCCCTAGTATATTTCCTGGTAGGCACTGAGGAAAACTCACATGACACAATTGCAGACAGTTTATAATTACAGAAATAACTCTAAATAGAAATAACATCAACTGTCCTAACACTCTAAGGAGAAATGTTGTCCTCATTTTCATTCTCACTCTTCATGGCAAATGTTCAAAGTATAAACACCAATGTGCTATGATGAAATGTAAAAGTTTAAACTCTTTTTTTGAAAAACTCTTGTGTTATAAAATCAAAATATATCAAATAAAGGCCAAGTGAAATTTTATTGTGTCTGTTTTTTTCTGTTTATTTTTATTTTTTGTTATTAAAAAAGTGATATACAGAGAGGTTACAGTTACCTAAGTCAGGTCCAAGTGAAATTTTTTAAAAATCAAATATTAATATTCATGAATATGGACATGGAAGAAATTGCTTACTTTGAGCCCATCGGTAAAGTCTTTCATAAGCTGTTTCTTGAAGCAAGGCCATCTGTTCCATAATTTCCAGACTGAAAAAAATTATAAATTAATTACAATTTAAATTTTTAGTCAATAACTATATCTAAAAAAGTAATCATTTTGCCTAATTACTAATAACTAAAGACTGATTACAAAAGCTTTCTAACATTTTATAGAATGATTTTTCAATACTTTTTTTCTAGTGCTAGGGATCAAGCACAGGGCTTTTATATGCTCTTTTTTTTTTTTTGGTCAGTCATGGGCTTGAACTCTGGGTCTGGGTGCTGTCCCTGCGCTCTTCAGCTCAAGGCGGGCACTCTACCACTTGAGCCAAAGCGCCACTTCCAGTTTTCTAGTAGTTTATTAGAGATAGATAAAAGTCTCGCAGACTTTCCTGCCCCAGCTGGCTTTGAACCGTCATCCTCAGACTCAGCCTCCTGAGTAGCTCTGATTACAGGCGTGAGCCACCAGCGCCTGGCTTGCAAATTCTTTTATACTTAAAGAAATGCACATTTTAATTCCCTTGCTATTGATTATACTTTACTCTGAACATATCAAAGTATAATTTCCTCCTTTTCCAAGAATAAAGATCATATTCCCATTTCTCAAAATACTATATAGATTCAAAATTTCAATGTCTTTCAAATTTTGGGAGTAGCAAAACAATTTGTGCAATGAATACTCACCCCGCTGTTTGCTGATTTGTACGCAAGAGAACTTTGACATCATTATGAATCTGTTTCACTCTTCCCAGAGCCTTGAAAAAATCCTTTAAAATTAAGAATGTGATTTTAAAAGGTTCATGCTTTCAGGTGAAAATGTAGTAGTTAAATTAAAAGATCAACACAAAGGGAAAACAAATTTCAACTCTTCCAATGATGTTATCCTTCATTGCTCATACAAAGTTTATGCTGATCTCAGCTTTCTTCCAAGTTTTACAGAAGTTACAAGAGATATTTCTTCACAATTTAAGGCATATTAATTCAATGCCTAATATTCCAAACTGCATGCTGGTTGTCAGGAATACAAAATTTATAAAGACAAAATCTCTACCTTCAAGATATGTGCAGTCGGGGCTGGAAAGGTGCCTCAGTGGTAGAGCGCTTGCCTTGCATGCCTGAGGCCCTGGGTTCGATTCCTCAGCACCACATAGGCAAAAAAGAAAAAAGCCGGAAGTGGTGCTGTGGCACAAGTGGTAGAGTGCTAGCCTTGAGCTGAAGAGCTGAGGGACAGCCCCCAGGCCCAGAGTTCAGACCCCACCACCGGACCCCAAAAAATAAAAAATAAATAAAAAATAAAAAGATATGTGCAGTCTAGTGAGAAAGAAATGCAAACTTAAAGAAAATCAGTATTACTTTTGAGTTAAGCAACACTCCAGATGTTTTATGTATTTGTTACTTATTGATACCTCCTTATCTAAGACTAAAATAAAAATCTAAACACATAGAAGATATTCATTAAATACTTAGGTGTTGTCTGGTGTAAACATTTTTTTTTCCTTTACAAAGATAAATTGGAGTCTTAGATTACAAATGTTACACAGTGTGCCACTGAGAAGCTCAGTGGGACCCTATCTTCACCTTAAGAACCCTTCTTCAGCCAGGTGCCTGTGGCTCACGCCAGTAATCCTAGCTACTCAGAAGGTTGAGATGAGGATCATGGTTTAAAGCCAGCCCAGGCTGGAAAGTAGGTGAGACTCCAATCTCCAATAAACTACTCAGACAAAGCTGGAAGTAGCACCAAAACGAAGCTCAGGGATAGCAACCAGGCCCAGATTTCAAGCCCTAGGATTGGAAAAAGAAACAACAAAACCCAAAAAAGCTTTTTTTCCCTTTGATTCCAGAAAAATTATAACAGGTCTAAGTTTATAGTTACTCCAAGTTAGGAGACAAATTTTCTTTTTGGATAAATTTCATGGTTTAAAAAAAAACATTTATCATTTATCTCACTATTTAGCATTTTGTGATGTCTTCTAATTCTGTCATTTTACAAAAAAAGGCACAACTTAAAAAATTATATGAAAAGATAATCAACTTCTAACTACAGAAAAGACACAAAGTTATAAAAGAAAAATATAAAATCATTTTAATATCACTAATATTAAAACAAAATATAACTGTCCTATGATGTTGAAGTAGATAAAGAGAATGTACATATATATTTGCACTGGTAGAGGAGACAGAAGATGGAAAAGGCTAAATCCTCATTTTTCTTTTTTCTTTTTTTTTCTTTTGGTCAGTCCTGGGGCTTGAACTCTGGGCCTGGGTGCTGTCCTCAGCTCTTCAGCTCAAGGTGAGCACTCTATCACTTGAGCCACAGCGCCACTTCCAGTTTTCTGCCAGGGCTAGCTTTTGAACTACAATCCTCAGATCTCAACCTCCTGAATAGCTAGGATTATAGGCATGAGCCACTAGTGCCCACCTAAATCCTCATTTTTTTCCTGGCACAAAATCAATAGAAAATAGATGATCAAAACATATTCTTTTCAACTGCAGGTTTGAAATACAGAATTCACAAAGCAATTGCCAATGTTGTAACTAGTGACAAAGTTCTTACAGAGGTTCTTGGTTTTTCTAACCAAGCTGTTTTAGATGCTTTCATTTTTTAAATCAAAAATTAAAAAGTAATTAAAATATGCACCTTAATTTCCACTGTAAAAATACTTTCAGACAAATTACTTTTTCAGATGGGAAGATAAAAAGTTCACAATGTCAGCTCCCAAACTCAGAGTTCAAGCCCCAGGACCAACCAAAAAAAAAAAGTTCACAATGTAACGTTTCTACATAACATTTAAAAGTGACATAGTTTCAGTGACTGTAAGAGAAAGCAAAGTTACCTCAGTTACAGGTCCTTCCTTTGCCCCTCGAAGCAGACCCATTTCATCAGTAGTCAGCTGGAACTTGGATAAGAAGGCATCTGCCACTTGTGCTCTTATTTCTAATCTTTGGCTATAATAAAAAAAGAAAAGAAAGATCAAGTATATACAAAGTTATAGCTCTGATAACAACTTCTGAAAAGAAGACGTGAAAGATTCTCAAACATCTTTGAAAGCCTCATTTCTGCCTCAAATGTTGGAAGCTACTAGTCATGTACACGGTAAAATCATTACATTCAGCAGACATTCAATGATCCTCACAAAGGTGAAGAAGTAAGTTCACAGTATTTGAATTACAAATTTTCAGGCACTTACAAGTACTTGAACAATTAGTTACAATCTAATGAGGTCATTTTTCAAGAGAGAAATATAGTTTTTAACCAATTTGTTGTCAGTTACTCTCTCCTCTCTCTCTCTCTCTCTCTCTCTCTATATATATATATATATATATATATATATATATATATATATATATATAATACATATATCCCAAGCCTTTCACACAAAGTATATAGTACACAACCAAAATTCAGGTCTGTTAGTTTTTTAACTATCATTTTAAGTTAAAAGAGAAGTTAAGGAAGCCAGGTATGGTGGTATAATAGATATTATCCCAGCACTCAGATTATTGAGAGATGGAATATTCAGAGTTTGAGGGCAGCCTAGGCTACACACTAAGACCTTGTTTTCAAGGATCTCTCTCCAAAAAAAGGGGAAAAGGGAGGGGAAGGTAGGGGAGGGGAGGAAAGGAGAGGGGAGGAGAGGAGGAGAGGGGAGGGGAAGAGAGGAGGAAAGAGGAAAAGAGAAAGGGAGGGGAAGGTAGGGGAGGGGAGGAAAGGAGAGGGGAGGAGAGGAGGAGAGGGGAGGGGAAGAGAGGAGGAAAGAGGAAAAGAGAAAAAAAGGGAAGGGAAGGGAAGGGAAGGGAAGGGAAGGGAAAGGAAGGGAAGGGAAGGGAAGGGAAAGGAAGGGAAGGGAAGGAAATATTTTCCAGAAAGTATTTTCCTGAACTCAAGTTCGGAGAAAAATTTTCCTGAGCCTCTTGCAAGGCTCCTGGGCCTTGCAAAAGATAATATTTTACTTCCTAAAAGGCCAAACAAATTCATAACTTACCTAAATAATGATTATAAGCAACATGTATAAGTTACGATAATTTATAAACAGAAGCACAATGTTCCAATATTACCTTCTATAGACATTAATCAGAGTCTAGAGCATGTTATGTTACTAGCTCTAATACATTGCTTGTTTTCTGTTTTCACTCTATGTTCCTTTTCTGCCATTAGAGTACAAACTTTCCATATCTGCCAACTCAAACAGTATTTTTTGAATTTACAATGTGCTAGGGGACTGGAGATACAAAAACAGAATAAGAAACAGTCATTGTTCCCAAAGAGTCATAGTTAAAGAGGAAAAGATGTGTAAATCAACAATTACTCTATAAAATAACTGTGGCAATAAAAATGGCAACAGAAAGACTTCATTCAGCAACAGAAAGATTTAATTCAGCACAGGGAAAATTCAAATAAGTCTTGTAGATTAGGTTGGTAATTGGTTTTAGTCACATTTTTTTCTCAATTAAATCAGTACTTGTTTATCAGCCAACATTAAATTAAGAAAAGAATCATGTTCTGAATCACTACTTGGTAATTTACTTTTTTAAGTTATTGTGTTTTGGGTTTTTTCAAAAGAGCTGCTGTAATATGAAAAGCATTCCAATTGCAGAACCCATGGGGCTCAAGCTTCTTTCTGTATGCAGCAATTCAACCTTCTGGCACAGTCTTTTCTGGTATAGCTGACTGGCTGCCCTGCAGTCCAGAATCCCCTCACTCTGTATTAGTCTGCAACTTTTCTCACCACTACCTGTCCCCACCAGGATAGATCTTTGTGATGACAGAGCTGTTTTGCATCCCGACTGCGTGGTACACCCACGAACCCTCACAGGTGAGCAATATCGTTCTAAGATGTTGATGAGCACCAGTAAAGCTGAGACATCTGGGCAAGACTTTGTCATTGCCCGACTACAATACTTATTATACAGAGATATACACAAGATGTATGCATAAAGGAAACTGGGAAAAGGCCACAGGAAATCTCGCATGAGTTTTAACACCTGGCCTGGGGATCCACAATCATCTCAAAATAAAAGGTGATTCATTTAAAAATTAGTTTTTCAAAGCTTAACAGGAGATGGGAGATTGATAGGAGGGATTCACATCCCAAAGGAGATGAAGGATGTGAATGATGTTTTAGCAAAGGTAAGTATTTCACACTGTAATCTGTGGACTACTTACATAGAAAGACCTGGAATACTGTTTAAAAAGCATTGTCCTAGCTAGGCACTGGTGGCTCAGCCTGTAATCCTATCTACTCAGGAGGTTGATATTTGATCTAGTTAGAAACTAGGCAGAAAAGTCCCCATGAGATTCTTACGTCCAATTAACCACTTAACTGGAAGTGGTGCTATGGCTCCAAGTGGTAGAGTGCTAGCCTTTAGCAAAAGATCTCAGGGACAGTGCCCAGGCCCTGAGTTCAGACCCTGCAACTGACAAAATTAAAAGGGGGTAAGCATGGTCCTGAGCCCAATCGAGGACCTATCAAGTCATAAAAACAAAATACAGGTGTTTAATTTTATTCTAGAAGTCTATGAGGATAGACTTGGAAGGTGGCACTCTACTGAGCCTGAAGGTATTCTATGCTCACTGGATACAGCCTCAGATGGCACCCATGACACCCATGATGAGACTAGGTGATGTAAAGAGCACTATTTGAAGAAGCAACTGTTCCAGTTGTAATGGGCAAAAGAAATCTGTGCTCATCTTAGTCAAAATGTGCCACCTATAAACTTCTACTTAGTTCTATCTGCAGTGGTAATACAGAATAGGTCTAGTCATTGGTAAACTAGAATGCTCATCAAATATTTCAGAGAACCATCATGTCCCTTGTAGGCTTGTATTTCTAAGTACACAATTCTGTCAACATCATACCACTTTTCTGAAATCCTTAATATCTTGTTAACCCTTAGATGCCCTGCTTTTTCTTAAATGCTTCATCCTGTTCCTGCTATGTTATACTTACTTACTGCTTACATTATACTCAATGTTCCATACTGCTGTGATTCACAGTCATCCCAGAGTTATCTGTATCTATATATCTAATATAAAGGAGACGTTCTGATATCCAACAACAGTGTAATCTCTACCAAAAAAAAAAAGCATAAGAAATGTGATTTGTTGGACTGGGAATATGGCTTAGTGGTGGAGTGCTTGCCTAGCATACATGAAGCCCTGGGTTTGATTCCTCAGTTCCACATAAACAGAAGAAGCTGGAAGTGGTGCTGTGGCTCAAGTAGTAGGGCGCTAGCCCTGAGCACAGAGTAGCTCAGGGATGAACTCAGACCCTGAGTTCAAACCCCAGGACCAGCAAAAAAAGTGATTTGTTTGTAAAATTGGCCAAAGTATTTTTAAATGATGTTAATTTCCAATGTATTTCAATTTATTAATTTTAGCAAATAGCACTTTCTTCTACATGTTTGTCAGATGGATTACCAAGAAATATTGGCCCTGTCTTACCTACAAGAAAACATTCCAATTAACCTTAACATCTTTTCTAGTCCTGACATCTGTGACTCCTAATACACTAAATAACTATACAACTCTGCACTGTTTGTAAATCCCATCATACCTTAGTCTAAAGAGAGCTGTGTTAAGAATGATTAAGGTCTGGGTATGATGACACATGCCTGTAATCTCAGTACTAGGAAGGGAGAAGGATCCTAAGTTTGAGGCTAGCTTGATTACATGAGACACTATCTAAAAACAAAACAATGATTAAAACCTCAATATGCAAAACTAAGGAATGGTGGGTATCATATACTTGCCAATCCTGACCTACAGGAATGTTTTCAAAATTATTTTGATTATGATGCACATTAAGAGGTATATTTTAAAAGCTTCACAAAACATTCACCCAAACTAGTTACTATTTTACTGTATCCTTTTTTTTTTTTTTTTTTGGCCAGTACTGGGGCTTGAACTAAGGAACTCAAGCTCAAACTTAGGTTTTTCACTGATGGCTGATGCCCTTCCACTTCAGCCAGGCCTCTAGAGACAATAATTATAAAAAAATATAGGAAGAAAGTTACTAAAAATCTGAACATATTTACATCTTGAAGAGCAATCATTTCTGAACTTCACAGTAAGTAACAATACATTATCATCTATATTTCAAAAACAAAACAATCTTCTAAATCTATGATCAACTTTAATGCTCACTAATTGCTATATGTTTAAGTTGCTAATAGATAACAGTTTAGGACCTTAAGTGTTTTATCAATTGTGAACCATTGTAACTTTAATTCTGGTTTAGTTATCCATACTTTTCTTTCTACTTCCAGATTAATGAAGAGGTAATATACAAAAAAACTTACCTTTCAGCTTGAAGTTTAGTGGTTTTTACTATTAAATCTTGAGTCTGTTCCTTTGCTGCCTAAAATTATAAACACATCTCAAATTAGTACATTTGAATTTCATTATAGTTCAGAAAGCTAATTGTTACGTCTTTCTGAGGTTCAGGCTAACAACAATGAGATCACTCTCTAGAACTCAAAAGTTTAAAAAAAGATTGATATAAATGAAATTGATGTTCCAAGACCTACCTTTAATACCTGATACATAAAAACAGTATTAAAATTTACACAAAAGTAGGAGACATAAACATTTTGAGTAATAGACCCATAGACAGATCATACAAGTAACCTATGATTAATTTATTGAACACAAACTAGTGATTCTTCCTAGATGATTGTTGCTGTCCATAATTTCAGAATCTCAGACACATAAAGTATTGTGTCTGTGCTTGAAAGATGCATAAGGAAACTCACTGAAAGCAGCTGAATAATAAAAGGGTGAGGGAGCTGTGGAGAGAGCAATAGAGGAGGCTAATCTGATTAAAGTTTAACACATATATTTGTGGAATACATGGTAAAACTCCTTTGCACAGTATCTCTACACACAAATGAATGGCAGTTATGTGTAGCAGGCTGTTAGGAGATAGACAGCAGTGGGAAAGAATGAAAATAAAGGGTAAGGAAAGATGAATGTGGTTGAAGTACTTTATGTGCATGTATGAAAACAGAGCAAGAAAACCTGTTAAAGTTGTTTAACAAAGAACAGAGGAGGTGAATGTGATTAGGGAACAGCATGTGCATGCACAGAAACATCACAATGAAACACTCCTGTATAACTAACAAAGAAATTATAAATAAATAAATAAAATGTGAAAGTGTTAGACGTAATCATAACTGAGTGTTAGAAATAAACTATTTTATTCCTGTGCTAAAACTACTGGATAAGGACAAGCAGGTCAGATTCAGAATCTGCAGCTAAACTAGAGGTTTAGGACTGCCTAAATAAGTGAAATCAGTATTATATGCATTTCTCTGAAACTCAGGCTGAACACAAATCAGACTGAAGTGAGATCTTTATAAAGGCCTATTTCAGCCTGAATTTACCTTCGGGCTTTCTATTATATAATTCATTCCTCTGGACCTCTAGAATTGAAAGGTTTATTACCAGGTGTGGTGGTGCACATCTGGAATCCAACAAGAGTGGCAAAGACAGGAGAATCTCCAGTTCAGAAACAGACTGAAGTATATAATATGTAAGACCCTGAGACCCTGTTTTCAAAAAACCAAGCACTTGGAGATATAGCTTAGTGATTGAGTGTGCAAGTCCCTGGAATCAATCTTAACCATCACAACACACACACACATACATACATACACTCATACACACACACACACACACACACATGCACACACACAAATAAGATTTATCATAATTCTTCAGGTAGCTCTGTATTCACTAGACTGGTGTTAACCACTACCTCAAGAAACAAAAAGCCATTTCAAGTTCTAAGTACACTTATATTCAAACTTCTAACAAGTAATATATCCTATATCCATATATTCTTTTGGTTCTTGAGGTAATAGTTAACACCAAAACCCTTTTTATTTCAATCTAGTAAATACAGAACTACCTGTATAATTAAATCTTATTTGTGTGCATGCATTATATGTGTATGCGTGTGTGTGTATGTGTGTGTTGTGACGCTTGAGATTGATTCTAGAGACTAACACACTCAATGACTGAGCTACATCTCCAAGTGCTTAGCAATTTTTAAAAGCTCACTTTGTATCAGAAACCATGCTAAAGCCTAGCCCTCCTCATACTGTACCTGTAGACGGCTTGTCATGTCTTGACAACAGCTACTCATTGCTTGAACATCTTCATTGATGCTTTCAAGTTCCTGAAAAAGAAAAAAAGTAACATCAAATATTCTATCTACTGCTTAAAAAAAAAAAAACAAAGTTCTCTCAGCTAAATCCTTACTTTAGCCCCACATTTTTTTGTCCAAGTATTACAGTAGATCCCATATTTAAAGGTAGAAATATTTTAAAAGAATAATAATTAGTGTTTAAAAGAAGAAAATGGTGTACTCCTTTCAAGTGGTATAACAGCTGATGCTTTAAAACTATTGGCATTTTTGTTTTTGTTTTGTTTTGTTTGTCGGTTGAGGGGCTTGAACTCTGGGCCTGGACACTGTCCCTCAACAATTCAGCTCAAGGCGAGCACTCTACCACTTAAGCCACAGTGCCACTTCCAGTTTTCTGGGGGCTTTGAACTGCAATCCTCAGATCTCAGCCTCCTCAGTAACTAGGATTACAGGTATGAGCCACTGGTGCTTGTCTGGGTATCTCTTTATATAAGAATTCTAAGAGTTTATCCTATGATGACAAAATAACCACAGCACAGTTTGCATATGCTTTATTTTTTTTGGGGGGGGGGGGTCTGGTCATGGAGCCTGAACTCTGGGCCTGGGCGCTGTCCCTCTGCTCTTCAGCTCAAGGCTAGCGCTCTACCACTTGAGCCACAGCGCCACTTCCGGCTTTTTTCTTTGCTTATGTGGTGCTGAAGAATCGAACCCAGGGCCTCGAGCATATTTTACATGACAAAACATATTTTTAAAAAAGAAAAAATCCTACATACTTATTAAGTATGCATCAATGTTATATAATATATATGATTATCAACAGTTATCTAAAATAAATGGAAAATGTAAAACATTTCCAATCACACCACAGAAATCTGTGTCTACATTAAGAATAATGTTTATTAAAAGATGTCTACATAAAGGAAAAAAAGTCATAATAAATACAGATGTCTCCCCATTTCTTTAAGAAAAATCTGTATATGCAGAGACCACAAGTAATGTTATACAACAGAGACAACAGCTATTTCTCAGTGGTTAGATCTTAAGTAATTGTTGTTCTACTTCCAATTCGTCTAACGTTTCTACAATAAATGGCACATAAACTTTAATAAAAATAAGAAAAATTGAAAATTAAATAAATTGGCAATTCCTCCGGCTGCCAGGTTCCCTACAGTTCAGAGGACAGTGCCTATATTATCTGGCTCATAATGACAACAGTGCCAAGGCGCTGATGCTGCACTGAATCCATAACTCCAACAACAAACGCACCTTCTACTATTTCCTCGTTACTTATTAGGTAGACTACAGCTGTGAGGAGCTACCTCCCCTCAACAACTGTACATAGTGATATAAAGCTGGGGGAGTGGGGGGGCGGCGGGGGCAAGCACTTGCTGCACTCTTTTATCAGTTTCAAAATAATAGTTTGGTTTCCTTAGAACTACCAGAAGTAATCAGTGAGGGTTCTACTTGAATTTCAGTATTATGAACTCATGGTTTAATGATTGGTATATTTCATACAAATCTGACCATCCTGTCTTTGGCCAAGGAACGCCTCTTAGATTAGCTCCAGAGTCCTTCAACACTGATCCAATATCCTTAGATAGACTTCCTGCTTTCTGGTACCAAAAAGATTGTGTTCCAGTAGAAAACTGTCTTTAGAGATAGCAATCTGGATGTGTTTATCACTATTGTCTCTTCCTTTTTTTATATATTCTACCAAGCTTCCTTCCAAGCCTTCTAGAATACAAGCCTTTGGTAAATGAAGTCCTACTAAACTGTAAGAAGTAACTCACTTTTAGTAATAGTTTAGTGAAACCATACAACTCACATAATATAAATATACTACTTAACATATAACTGAATTAAAAAGTACTGCATAAAAATACAATATTACAAAAAAATTTACTTTTATCCTACTATGAATAGGCCATACTCAAGCATGGTGGAACATTATACATTCAAGTGCCTGATCTTGATCTGAAAATTGTATAATTTAGAGCATAGTAAAAGTTACTCAGTGTTAATCAGTCTCTACTAGAGAAATGTTTATCCAAAAGGGGTTTATTCAATGAGGAAATTTCTCCTGGAAAAACATCCAGAGAAATGCTTTATGTTGTTTTTTAAAAAGTTAAAATTCTTATGAGAATTTCTTAGAATAAATGCTACAACTGTCCAAAAGTCAGCATCAGGAAAAGTCATAGGTTTAGAACTCACACTAATTCAAATAAAGACCCACAGACAGAAGTAGAGTAAAAGTTTTAATTTGAATAAGACATATTAAAAGCAAATATACCAACCTACTTGAAAAAAAAAAACTTAGCACAAAGCCAAACATAAAAGTTCTCAATAAATGCTAAATAAAAAGCACTTACATACCGTCCTTACTGCCTTGAAAATCTTCACAAACTCCTCATTGATGGCTAAACTTCTGCGTTCAATATCTCCACGTAAATTTCTTCGAGTCCTCAAGCTGTTTTCAACAAAAAAGGTTGAAAGTGCCTTGAGAGCTTCCAACATCTCCTACACAATTAGCAGCAGAACACAATTAGTATAACTGCTTTTTAAGTGTTTTCCTAATCTCAAGCCAAAATGCAATGAAATAATTTTCAGATGATCTGTTTGTATTAAACAATACAAGAAATACTGAATGACTTTCAAATTACTGAAGACTTCCCTCTAAGAAAATTACCAGCAGCATGCCCAATCCCTATGTAGCTTAGGAAAGTTATAAGATTTAAGTCATAATACCCAATTTTGGTGGCTATAGCTAACAATGACTGGTGCCCTGAAGCCTTCTTTCTTATTCATGAAATAAGTGATGTTAATCTTATTTAATACAAAAGCATCCATTTTTATTGATAGTTTATTTTCATTTACCTAAATATATATATATATATATATATATATATATCTAACTAGCTCTTTTTTAATTATATAAATATTATCTTATTTTATGTGTGTGTGTGTGTGTGTGTGTGTGTGTGTGTGTCCTGGGGCATGAACTCAGGGCCTGCGCACGGCTCCTTAGCTTTTTTGCTCAAGGCTGACACCCTACCACTTGAGCCACAATTCCACTTCTTCCATCCCTATTCTTTAGGCCACATAGACATGACCAATTTACCAGACTGCCAAACGATGACCAAAGCTGGACAGACAGTTCAACCTGCTACCGGAGAGGAACTTGGGACACCTGAGCCTATGTTCACTGAACACCGCAGAGCCTGCAAATCACAGACAGGGCTCAGGGCACAACAAGCACTAGCAAAAATGAGTTTATTGGAGCCCTGGGCAGGAAACACCCTCAATTGGGGGTTGGTGGTGGTTGCTGTCATTTCTTTAACCTACTGGGAAAAGCTCTTGTGGTCCTCACATCTCTCCTACGTCCTACGCCCCTTAAGTGACAGTGCCTTCCCAGCCTGCCAGGACCCTGGACCCCCGACCCCTCTGGGGCTGAGGGGGGGGTGCAGTTTCCAGAAAGTCGTACGGTTTCCAATAAGTCTTTTTTATTTAGTGGAGGGAGGGAGGAGTGACGCCCAGGAAGCCCTTTACCTTGTCTGGGGTACCCCTTGCCTCACCGCCCCCGCCCCCCACTTCCCTGCCCCTCGCTGGGGAACCTGCGGAGCGGACCCGAGACCGGACAGCAGGTGCAGGGCAGACGTCACTCCGGCCGGCTCGGTTCACCTCGAGGACCCCCGCCCCCCGGGGACCTCCCCGTCGCGAACCCCCCTCGGGGACCCCGGCACTCCGGCCCGGCCCGCTCCGCTTACCTTGTCGTTGTCCAGCCTGGTCTCTAGGATCTTATGCAGCTTGCGCGACAGCGGGTTGTTGGACTGCGCCGAGGTCCCGCCGGCCCCATTGCTGAGACCGTTGGCGGCCCCCGAAGCCGACACGGCGACCACCTCCCCGCTGCCCTCGGCCATAACCAGATCCAGCCCACCCCCACCCCCCCCGCAGAAGGCGGCTCTGCCAGCTCAGCCCCAGCCGCGTTCGGGGCCGGCAGTGACAATACTGCGCATGTGCGGCGCGGAACACGCATGCGCGCTGGCGCCAGCCCGCTGAGCCTGAGCAAGTCTGGAAAGGGCCAGTGGAGAAAACTCTGGGCTGAGCAGGAGGGGAGAGACATTGATTAAAATAAAAGGGACTTGAGCAGCTTGAATCCACTTCTGAGCTAATTAGATACCATGGGTAAAACACGTAGAAAGTTTTGCCTGAAATGAAGTTTTAATAAATTTGACTCTAATTGAAAACACTGAACTCCATCTTGTTTTTTGTGGGTCGTGGGGCTTGAACTCTGGGCCTCCGGCACTCTCTCTGAGCTTTTAATGCTCAGGGGGAGTAGTGTTCTACCACTTGAGCCCAGCTCCATTTCTGGGTAGTTTGTATTGGAGATAAGAGTCTCACAGACTTTCCTGCTGACTTCAAACCACAATCTTCAGATCTCAGCCTCAGGACATGAGCCACCAGCATCAGGCTTTCAGTCCACAATTCTTAAGAATTAAAGTTCCTTAATTAGAAACAGTCATGATTTCTGTTTTTTTTTAATTTTTCAATTATATATCTATTATTTTTAAGCAGTTGTTCAAAGGAGTTGCCATTCAACAAATCAATTTATAAATACAATGCATCTTTATAAATGTCACCCCTTTCATCCAGCCTCATTCCTTCCAACTTTACCTCTCGATTATCTTAAATTTGTAGTACAGGCATTGGATTTTATGACTGCGTTCTTCCTCCCTTCATTTGTCTACCCTCATCCTCTTGACTCCACTCCCCAACTTTCGAGTATCAGTTTCCTTATATTCATAGCCTTTCTAAGGAATTATGACATTTGCATTTTCCCTTGAAAATACCATATTTCAGTTACTTCATTTGTGTACACTTGCATACAACCCTGAGGTGTTTACTTATATTTATATTTATAAATTAATTCTAACTTTCACATATAAGATAAAACATGATTCCTCTCGGGGCCTGACTTACTTTACTTACCATCAGTTTTTTTTTTTTAATGTCCTTTCATGTTGTTGCAAATGATGTAATATTCTTCATAAGGGATGAGTAATATTCCATAGTTTATATATACTACATCTCTCTCTCTCTCTGATACTTCAGGTTTGAAAGTTTTTTCAAGTTTCTCATTTCCTTTTTATTTTTCCAGACCTTTTCTGCAATTGTTTACATCTTTTATATGGCCCATGAAAATCCCCCAGTGGTAGATTCAAATAACTGAAACCATCAAAGACATGGAGGTAACAATCTTACAACTTTTTAGCAACATTCCCTCTTAAAAAATGAAATTTTCAGAAGGACAGCAGGGACTTGTTGAACAGGGCTCAAGACTCCAAGCCTTTCTCCACCAACTGTTCCCCTCTTGTTATTGGTACAGCCACCCTTTTCTTTTCAATATTTGTTCAGGCGCTGGGATTGATTACAATGCATTGAGCAGGGTTCTTTATTGGGAGGATATGAAAGCTGCTTGGATGACTGAAGGAAAGGCTGAAAATTTAGCTGCAAACCAATCAATAACATGGGATCTCAGAAGCTAGAATGACTTGATAGTTTTCAGGGAACTACTGTTACTATTTTTCTGCCTTTGTCCAGTATTTAAAGTCCTGATACAAGCCCATTCAGGACACATGCCAATTCATTGATAGGAAAACCATGATTTACTATCCAAATCCATCAGCACAGAACAAGGGAGAGGTAATTTTAGTCAATGTAGTAACTATAAATTTGTGGTCTGTGAGACAAGTAAGGAAGTAATCTGTATAAGAAGAGGTGAAATATCCAAATAGGTAGTTAAAAGATTAGTCACAGTGCCAGCTTGGGGAGTAGAAAGGGCTGTTGTACACAGGTAATGTTTGCAGACAGCAGCACTGATTGCAAGTAGGTGGTATGCAGATGGAAGGTGGGTTAGGAATAAGATACCAACTACCCAAATTAGGCAATTTAATTTAATGAAGGAATTACAATGAGAGTTGACCCAGAAGTTACAGTAAGTAAGATTAACTGAGAAAAGGTTAGATGGAATTATTTGCAAGGAATTTGTCAAAATTCTCTTTCTATATGATCAGGCTCAGTGAATCAACACGTAGCTCAGGTTGAATATTTCTAGAACACCTAAGCATTAAGTCTCTGTCCAGCATATTGAACACAGCTTCTAGATAGTGTAAAAAGAAACAGAGGAAATTGAATCCTTAGGATCTACATTTTCAACCAAATTTAGGATGCAAAATGCAAGTTGAGGTGACGACAACTGCAGAAAATAAATGAAAAAGCAAAGGAACAATTTGAACCATGTACAATTGTCTGAGTAATGTGCATTGTTCTTTGTTAGTTTTATCTGGTCCTGGGGCTTGAACTCAGGGTGTGGACTCTGTCCATGGGCTTCCTTTTGCTCAAGGTTAGCGCTCTACCACTTGAGTCACAGATCCACCTCTGGCTTTTGGTAGTTAATTGGAGATAAGAGTCATGTGGGCTTTCTTGCCAGCATTGGCTTTGAGCCATGATCCTCAGTCTCAGCATCCCGAGTAGCTACAGTTATAGGCATGAACTACCAGCACCTGGAATGTCCTTAAATGTCAAAGAAACAATATTATTTGACAAGTGTTTCTAGTAAAGTTACCCTCTGTTTATATTTAAAAGATGTGGTCCAAGACCCTCCCCCACAGCCGCAAACTCTCTCTATACACTGTGTTTTTCTATACTCACATATCTATAATGAAAGTTAATTTATAAGCTGGGCACAGTAAGAGATAAAAATAAGAGCTAAGAATGGATTAGAAAAATAAAATAATATTCTCTGATATATTTCTGGAATTATCCATCCAATGTGTATGTACTTAAATAAACTGAACCATTACATCCTTAGCATTGGGTTTCTATATACCATTATATGCTTATAAAAACATCTTTATGTTAAATTTATAATTCTACCTTTTTACTTGTTTGAAATACTCTAGGAAAGTAGATATACTAAATATTTGAAGTTGGAAGTTTTTAAATAGCTAAATCAATCACATTTACAAAGGCTTTTGAATATTCAGGAGAACATACAACTTGAATGGATTTAGTATGAAATATCTAAAATAGCTTATAAGCTAAAGTATAGCATAAATGTAAATGCTGGAGGAAATTTAATATCCTAAACTGATAATTTGTTCTTCTAAGCTGAGGATAAATCAGCAATCACTAGATGCATAAGTAGATTTTACTAATACATAAATTTTATCTACAACTTACATGTAAAATTCTAATATTTCCACTATGAATGAAAATGAATATAGGTGTAAAGATTCCTTTTCTACATGAAAGCTATCTTTAAAACATAAAAACCTAAAAAATAAATAAATAAATAAATAAATAAAACATAAAAACCTGATAGCTTTCCAAATAGATTTAGGTGTTGTCACCAAAACATGGTGTTTGACAGTTGAAAAGTCACAGATGTACACACACTGTGAAGCCACACACACACACACACACACACACACACACACTGAAAAAAGAACACCATAGGGCTCATAAAGCCTATTTCAAAACTGCTGTTCAAATGCTCTGATTTTGGAGTTAGAAAATCTGGTTTGAATCTCAATTGTACCAACATATGACAACAGACAACCCAGTTTTTGCCTCTGAGTCTTTGTCTCCCCATCTGAGAAACATAACAATATCTAAGTTACAGAGTGAGGGCTTGGTGAAATAAGATGTATACAGCTGAATTATATAGTTTGCAAATTAATACAAAGTTGCCACATTTATCTGAGCAATTTCACCACCATCCACAGAGTCAAACAATAATCTCTCATTCCAGCCCAGTCTCATACAAGAATCTCATATTCTCTGAGACAAAAAGAAGAGGAAAAAAGACATATATTTTCACACATTTCTTATCCCCTTCCTGTTTCAAATTTTGTCTGGGATATACATACATGCACATAAACACATTGTTTAATTTGGAGGCATAAATACCCATGCACTCTCTGGACCTCTAGTTAGGACCCTTTCTTGGGTCCAGTCGTGGGGCCTGAACTCTGGGCCTGGGCCCTGTCCCTCAGCTCTTCAGATCAAGGCTACCACTTGAGCCACAGTGCCACTTCCGGCTTTTTTCTTTTTGCTTATGTGGTGCTGAGGAATCGAACCCAAGGCCTCAGGCATGCAAGGCAAGTGCTCTACCACTGAGCCACCTTCCCAGCCCCCAGGCCCCTTTCTTTATAGGGATGTATTTATTCTTTAAGAGCAAACTTTTAAAGAACATGTTTGTCCCTGTGTTCAAAATATTCAGGGTTACCAGCTAGTTCATCTTACTTAAAACATACCATATCTAATCCCTGGATAGTCATGAATTTAATCATACTTAAATCACTCCAGTTAGCATTTTCACTTTTCACCTTCTACACTACAGTTGATTTCTAATTGGCAATCCACATCCATATTCTGTATAGACCTGGCAGCTTTCAGCTTTTAATTGGCTGCTATTGATTTTCTTTTTAGAATATATGGGCCTGTGGCCTCTTAGCAGAATCAAGCAACATACTTTTCACAGGGCATCTTGATTTCTGCTGCACTCCTTTTCTGCTTAAGTTTCCTATATATGACATGCTATGGCTTGGTCATCCTGCCTCTCTTCCTGGAATATATCTGCTCTCTTTTCTTCTAACACCATGTGTCCATTCCTTTAGACTACTCAGGGGCCTCACTTCCCAAACATCTTCCATATTGGATAGATATCCTTCTGGGGGGTCTTCAAATTATCTTAAAAATGATTCCCTCATTGAAATTTCTATGTTCTGCAAAAATACTATGTAAAATTAGCATTCTCACTAGTTCATGAGCCCCTCAAGGTTAGAAAAAAAATTATCTTTAAATGCTTGGTAATTTGTGTGGTCTCTGAACTTAGTATATTCTACAAGCTGGATATCT